CTTTTGGTGGGTCAGAGACCACTGTGGCAGACGATTTAAAACATAAAATCCTGGTGTTGGTTTTATGGTGGTGCTGTGAAGGTGAGGCTGCACTCCTGTACAGAGACGGTGGGACAGGTCAGGTGTTTGGGTGACATTTGATACTGTAAGAATCCATGCCTGAGAAGTATATTGTGACTGTGTGACTAACCAAAATGCATTGTGTTAAGTAGCAAAAATACATATTCGGTAAGATTTTTCACTATTCGCAACACAGTGAAGGGGTTTTTTGTGGGCCCTGAGTTGTGAGCTTTGCTATTATGTTTCTAAAAAACTTCATGCCACACTGTTTTATTTCCCATATCATGCTCTGATCTTCTTTTTTTCAATTTCCTTCATGTGCTTACAGCTTGTATGACAAGTGAAAAGTGATTGTGTGCGCATGCATGTTTTCCTCTGCTGAGGTGTAAATGTTCAACACAAGCTCTTTGCACACACCCACATTCTCGTACTGTGTGTTCATTCAGACAAGAAACGCTGCCCTCATTTGTACAATCTAATGAAGTTTGAACTGAAAGGCAAGTGGATGTTTTGATTAAAGCAGTGATATCAAATGATTAAAGGACTGTTTGCTTATGTGTTTTTTTTTAACTGGTGACTTTATTACAAAAGACTGAGAAGCAAACTTGCACAGTGTGCAGCAAGACACATTTAAGACTGAAATTGGGTTGCAACTCAACAGCCAGTTCAATGATTTTTATGACTATTCAGTCAAGCATTTCCTCTATAAGATGTAGATATAGAAAGCGATATTAATCCAAAAAGCGAAATTATATGTTCACTGACAAAGCAAACAGAAATGGTTTCAGCTCTGGTTAACATTTTCTACTTAGCTGTTTGGGCATAAAAGACTACAGTACATGACTGAAACCCTGTTTTTCATGGTTTGATGTTAATAATTATTCTAATAAACTGCTGCATCTGCCCATTTCACTGCGGCCAAAGTTCTCTCTCAGACTGACCACCCCAGTTCTCCTGAGATAGTGTTTCATTTCTTGTGGGTATTTGACCTTACTGATATTTTAGCTTTTGCAAATGAAGGTGATTTTTAAAAAAACCTTTTTAGGCACAAAGCTTTATTAGAAGTGAAGCTGTAAATAAAGGCAGGTTGCCTAATAAAGGAAGCTAATTAAATCAGCTATAGTTTATCAAAGTGTGTTCAGGTATAAGTAGAACAATGGAGAATCCCTCATCAGACAGAGTGAGTATCAACAACCCAGCAGACATCACCGTCATCATTGGATATTTCGTCATGGTCATCAGTGTTGGCATCTGGGTGAGTGCACCTGTGTTAGTCTGTGTGAATAAATGAGACAGTCTAATTATTGGGAAATTACTTAATGAAATGTTCATGTCACCAAAAAATATGGATGTCATGTGCTTGTATAAGCAGGAACAGGCAATGCTACAAAATTGTCCTGTCTTGTGTTTTAGTCAATGTTCCGGACCAATCGTGGCACGGTTGGAGGATATTTCTTGGCTGGACGTACGATGACCTGGTGGCCAGTGAGTTCAATGTAAACCCAGACCAATAAATCCACTGTATAGGCTGATAATAGCTTAATAGTATCAGCATAAGTTGGCTAATGGTAACAAGAATCAGTGGTACAGAAATGCCAGAAACATTTTGTCTCTTGTGTTTTTCTGTTGGATTTGAAGTTATCACACTCATTGAAATTGTAACAGGACTTAATGTTTCTTCAGTGCATTTGTGTTTGTTTCACAGGTTGGTGCATCTCTGTTTGCCAGCAACATTGGTAGTGGTCACTTTGTTGGCTTGGCAGGCACTGGAGCAGCTAGTGGCATTGCTGTGGGCGGGTTTGAGTGGAATGTAAGTCAGAGTGGGTACTAACACTTCATGCAAGCCGGCGGCTGTATTGATTATATGGAGATAACTTTAAACTTTATTGGGTGTTGTTGATATGTGTCAGGCTCTGTTCATTGTGCTGCTGCTGGGCTGGCTGTTTGTACCTGTCTACCTCACAGCTGGGGTAAGTGGTTCTGGCTCATTTAAGTCCACTGCAAGCATCAAAAGCTTCTGTGATGACTCTTGTAATTTCCTCTATTGAGAGAGACTGTGTGTACTGTGCTGTGTTAGGTGATCACGATGCCACAGTACCTGAGGAAGCGGTTCGGAGGGACCAGGATCAGCCTCTATCTCTCCATTATCTCTTTGTTCCTCTACATTTTCACCAAGATCTCAGTGAGTCATCTCATCTGCCCAGTTATAAGAACTTTGTGTATTTTATTTTTTCTTTACTCCTTCACTTCTTGCCTCCCTTCTTCTCCCCTTTTCTTCTGCAGGTAGATATGTTTTCAGGAGCTGTATTTATCCAACAGGCTTTAGGGTGGAACATCTATGTGGCTGTCATTGCCCTTCTGTTAATCACTGCCTTGTACACTATCACAGGTACAGTATGTGTGTTTGTGAATGTATTCAACCAGAACCACGAAGTTGCTTTTAAAGGGGCACTCCACCAATTTATTCTTGAGTAGCAGGTTACTTGTCACTGTAAAAGCATTTGAATAATGTTTTCTATGCCTACAGAGGTAGAACTGTGAAATTTGAGTAAAACCTTGCTGATATTATAGTGTTATCTGTGTTACCTAGGCTCAAGCTTTGAGATGAGAATTTATAACAGAAATGCTGCATTATAAACTGGAGATGTACAGGCTGAAAGATCTATCAGGTAGAAGGTTGAATAAAAATATTGTATTGATTGATGTGGGAAATGTAGGATAAGGGTTTTTAGAGTTTAACCCATAATATAATTCAGGATTTCTCAGCCTCTGTTGCTTTAGTTTAAATCACTGTTTTTAAAAAATTGTCTTGCAAGTCCCATCACTTTATGGAAACGCAATGCTCAGCCAGTGGCGTACCCTTTTACCTTTATTTGATCATTTTAGTTACTAGTTACTTTTTAGAATGATCCTGATGGGAAGTTGACAAGCTACCCAACTGTATGTAAAGAACTTGAAATTATAATCATATAAGGCGGTTAAATATGATTTACAAAATAATTATAATCTAATAATATTATATACATTAATGTGAAATGTGCTATTCTCCATAATGAGTACTTTTTATTTTTCATAATTTAAATATATTTTGATGCTAATACATTTGTACTTTTACTTAAGTAACATTTTGAATGCAAGATTTTTACTTGTAACAGATCATTTTGACAGTGTGGCATTTGTACTTTCCTTAAGTAAACAATCTGGGTATTTCTTCCATCTCTGTGTGTGTGTGTGTGTGTGTGTGTGTGTGTGTGTGTGTGTGTGTGTGTGTGTGTCTGAGTTACCAGGTGGCCTGGCTGCTCTGATGTATACTGACACAGTTCAGACCTTTGTCATCATTGCTGGGGCCTTTGTCCTCACCGGCTTCTGTAAGTGCAAATTTACAGCATCATATCTGAACTTCCAATAGATATTTTTATTCTTAACACTGCACATATTTTTGACTTCTGTTAGTGCCTCAAGTCTCCTATGCCCCGCCTCAGCAGTGTCACAACAGGAAAGAGATTAGCCAAGGTCACTAATCATTAATTTCACAACAGCAGTTTACAGTACATTGAAGCTGCAAAACCACAAAAGTTTTTGCCTCCAACTGACACAATAACAACTGCACCATACAACCCTTTTGATTTTGTTTTATAAGACTTAAACATTCAGCATATACTGTAGGCTGTCAGTTTGATCAAGGTGTCAAACAAGTAAGCAGACAAGATAAAAGTAGGAAGTCAACCAGCAGTGAACTGCTAATCCAATTAACAGATAGTGCTGACTTAGCAGCTGACTCGTATCTTCAGTTAGTATCAGACAGCAAGAGAGCACTGGACTATTGAACTGAGCAGAAAAGAGCAAATACAGTGCACTTATATTCACATAACCTTTCTGTCATTTGTTTGAACTGCCCATTTAAATGACCCTTTCTCCTCCTCACCTCTAGCTTTTGCAGAAGTAGGAGGCTACAGCTCTCTGCTGGCCCAGTACGGTTCTGCTTTGCCACGTAATTTCTCTTCCATGGACCCCAAGCGTTACAACATCTCCCAACAATGCTACACCCCCAGACAGGATGCCTTCAGTCTGCTGAGAGACCCGACCACAGGGGACCTGCCATGGCCGGGCGTGTTGTTTGGGATTGCTATACTGGGAGGCTGGTACTGGTGCACAGACCAGGTGAATGTCCCAGTTCCATCTCAGTCTAGCAGTGTCAGCTGAAATGTTATAGTTTCATAACATCTTACCAACAATAGTATCTAGCAAAACCTGTAATACAAGGAAACAGTGTATTTATTAAAATTCAGTGTGTTTATGCATGTAGTCTTCATCATAGCAGTGCACAACTGTAGTTAAGGAACTTGGGTGGAAAAAGGACACAAAGCATTGATTGTAACTACATGGATTGTATCCATTGGTTTAGCTTCCTGGTTATGTGAATATAAAATAGATTGTTTTATCCCATGTGCCTGTATTAAATCAGACTTAACTGTACTTCCATTTCACCCTGATAAAGGTGTACAGTGGGTATGGAAAGTATTCAGACCCCCTTAAATTTTTCACTCTTTGTTATATTGCAGCCATATGCTAAAATCATTTAAGTTAATTTTTTTCCTCATTAATGTACACACAGCACCCCATATTGACAGAAAAACACAGAATTTTTGACATTTTTGCAGGTTTATTAAAAAAGAAAAACTGAAATATCACATGGTCATAAGTATTCAGACCCTTTGCTGTGACACTCATATATTTAACTTAGGTGCTGTCCATTTCTTCTGATCATCCCTGAGATGGTTCTACACCTTCATTTGAGTCCAGCTGTGTTTGATTATACTGATTGGACGTGATTAGCAAATATAAACTATATAAACTATAAGACCCTACAGCTCACAGTGCATGTCAGAGCAAATGAGAATCATGAGGTCAAAGGAACTGCCTGAAGAGCTCAGACAGAATTGTGGCAAGGCACAGATCTGGCCAAGGTTACAAAAAAAAAATGTCTGCTGCACTTAAGGTTCCTGAGCACAGTGGCCTCCATAATCCGTAAATGGAAGACGTTTG